GGTGCTGCTGGCGGGGGGGGGAGGTGGCCCAATGCCAAAGGGTGGCTATGACAGCTTTGGCCCTGTGAGGATGTCCCCCCCTCGGGTTGGGGGAGCTGGTTTCGTCCTGCGAGGGGACTCTAGGAGCTGGGCTGAGACCTGGCAAACTCGCTGCATGGGTGGTATGAAGCCCTGCTGTCAGCTAAGATCCCTGGCACCTCCAAGCCTACTCAGGTTTTGCTGATGGGGGACACAGCTGCACTCACACCCCCCCAGGCATGGGCCAGGCATGGGTTTTCCTTGCATCCCCAATTCCACCTTGAAACACCCCTGTTGCACCTGGGAATGATGCATCGATGTCCCCAACAGTGACACACTGCCCTCAGTGTTCCCAGTTCCCATGTGCCTGGGTCTGGGGGCACACGAGGGGAGGCTGAGTCCGGGTCTTGGCGAAGGCTCTAGGGTTTACCTGCTTTTTTATTGTTAATTAATACCGGCAGGGAAGGTGCAGGAGCACCATCCCCACTTGTCTGCGGGTTTTGCGTCATCATGTCGTGCTGCTGGTGTCTTCATCCGGCTGCAGGGCCAGAGGGGGTCCAGGTGATGTGGAAGAGGGAGCGGGGCATCTGTGCAGGGCCAGAGCCCCCCCAAAACCGCCCTGGAGGCACAACCCTCTGAAAATTGTGACATTCACCCTTTTGCAGGCTGGTCACGACTGATCCTTAGCCCTGTTTTAGCTTTGGGAGGAGGAGAAAGCCAGAGGGGGGGTAGGATTTCACACCCATCACGTATAACCCCCCTCCTTGGGCACCACCAGGACCTGGCAGCATCTTGGGTGGCACAAAGGGGGTTTGCTGGGCCAGTAACTCATGCCCACCTCGACCACCCTGTCCTTCCTGCACTCCAGGGTACCAGGGTGTGCTGGGGAAAACAAATCCAAAAGAGACCAAAAAAACCCCAAAAGACACCAAAAACCCACCAATGTGAGGAACAGATGGACGGCAGGAAGGATGGAGGGGGACAAAGCAATACTGCAACAGTGGGGAAAGGATGAAGGCTCTACTGGGAAGATGTGGCAAGCCGAGAGCGAACAGGGAGGAAGATGCTGGTGGTTTTTTTTTTTAGTGGACACTCGTGGTGGCAGCTCCCTCGGCAGCATGATGCTCCCCCAAGGCGAAGGCTTGGTGCTCTGTGACTCCCTTTGCCCACTGGCCGCTGCCATGAGTGATCCGGAGCGGGGCAGAGGGGGCTGGATCAATCTGGCAAACCAGAAAAATGAATGAAAATTGAATTCCCCAAGGAGAAAGGGGTGGGGGGAGTGGAGCTGTTAGCACGGCTAAGAGATAAATCAGAGCGTGCTGGAGAGGGGAGGCTGAGATGACTCCCAGCAGCAGTGGAATAATTAGGGAAATAGGTTGGAAATGCAAAGCGGTGGGACAGGGAGGCCACGGGGTGGTGTCCGTCTGTCTGCACGTCTGGCTAAACTTCTCCCATAAATCTACGTTAGGGACCTGCCTTTCTGCGTCCCCAGGCTGGGAGTTGTGCTCTGGCGCTGTCGGCCGGCTGGGGACCGCACGGGGGGAACGGCGGCCCCTGCCCCAAGGGGCTGAGGAGCGCAGGTGGCCGGGGGTGGCGAGGGCCTGGATGCGCTTAATGTACTTAAGAGCCAGCACTTGATTTAGGGGAGAAGGGGAGGAGATGGGATGGGAGGGGATGGGATTCACCTCCCCCGTGGTGGGAAGCCGATTTTGGGGCTCGGTGGACTGC